ATGTCGCAATATATGCTTGCACAAAACGATCCCTCACTACTTAATGGATTTTGAGTGCCGTGTATAGGTAAAAAAAATTGTAGACTTACATGTAGCTAGCTCCGTCGACAAGTGGTAGTGTCTCAATATAATTGAAAAATTATCGAACACAAAATGTAAAGTACTCAGATACTTACTTCTATAAAGAAATTACTTGATGGAAATTTAAAATTTGAGAATAACAAAACTTGATGATTAAAGCCATATATGGCGTAACTGATCAAAAAAAAATATGTTTCTAAAATACAAAATTAAGTAAAGAAATATAGTTAATACATTTAAATTAAAGCTTTTCATACAATTCCGAACGCGGAGAACACCCCGTTTCATCTAATAATACGATTTTATCTTCTCTGTGATGTGTTATTTAAATCTTTTGTATTTTCTTCCGAGTCGGAGAAAATTCCGAGAATCCAAATTAAATTGTGATATCATTATAACGCAATTGACTTAGATTTTATAATTTACGGAAAAGCTCTATCTTTATATAAAGTAATGATACAAACAATAAGTTCTTATAATTTTAGTCTAATAATTTTCATTGTACATACGCCATATATGGCTTTAAGTTATAAAGATAGATACATTTGATAAAACAGATAAGCACGGAGTTCTATAAAAATCAATTATTATGTCCGAAAAAGAAACATTCATACCCCAAAGAGATTAGCAAATACTTATTCTAATCAGAGGAAGAAAAATGACAATCTAGTGTCTGGCGATGGTAGCATCGAATATAAAGAGTGTTTGTTTCTTGGGACCAAATATCTTGTACACATTCTAAAAAGAGTAGGGGGCGTTTGAATTCAAATGCTTCAGAAATATAAGGGTAGTGTTTGAGTTTGAGTAAGAAATGGTACTGAAAGAAGTTTGAAACCTACCCACATAATAGTATTTTCGAGTTTGGAAAATTTTTTTGGTGGTGGTGGGGGTTGTTTGTTTGGTTTGGTCAAATTGTTGAGGTAAGAATTAGAAATAATAAATCCAGAACTAACTTAACTGTTCGTGCGCAATAAATATAGTTTTTTTTTTCAATGGATGGCACTGTAGCTCTACGGTCTGTCAAAATCTTTTTTCGGACAGCTACAGTTCTGCAGCTAATTTAAAAGCAGTCCCATGATCTTGGCTATTAAAATGCAATAGAAATTATTTCTAATGTTTCGTGTTGTATCTCTAACAAATCAGTTCTAGCTGACTTGAATCTAAAAGCATGAAACTGTTCCTATACTTCCCGTGAGATCTTTCAGATAACTATGTTCAACTCCCACGAGTACTTTCAGTACTTTGATTTTAAAAAGGGAGTTTGGTAACGAGGGCTGGATATTGCCCGTGTACACTTTGTTGTGGAAAAATGCTCGGGTTTGTTCTTCATGAGTTATACATGTAAGCGATTAATTTAATTTTTCGAAGATGATTCCACGCAATGTAAACAAATGATTATTTTTTGTGTGACCTAACAAAAATTATTTTTTTTTTACTTTTGAATTTGGATATCTTTAAAAAGAAAAAGACTTTATGGATATAATTTGACAAAAGTTGAAATTATTTATGGACAATTATTTTTCAAGAAGAAAAACGAATATATATTTTTAGCGATTAGGATCGGACCAAGCGGCTTTAAATATTAACATTTTGATTTAAACATAAACAGAATTAAAGATTATTAATAAGCACAATAAAATAAATACTTTAAAAATTTGAGTAAAAAATATTTTAAAATTTGAATAAGATTTAATTCATTTTATAGGAATTATTATTAAGATTTTTGAAACATTGATTAATATAAATTGACTAAAATACCTAGTAAATAGTTTTAAAATTTGAGTAATAAATATAATAAATAATAATAATATTTAATTCATTTTATAGGACATATTGCTATAAGATTTCCCCAATAAAAGTCTTTGACATAGTCTTATAAATGCAGGTAGTTTATTCATACAGTTTAAAACACAGGTAACACAGGTAAACTCGACCTGTGCCCCTTAGAGGGGCCCCTTAATTAAGTGGGATAATTATACTGTTTATATAGGGAGAAGACGTTCCGGGAACACACACCTTTCTTTGTATGTGCAACCATGTATTTTCCCATCAGGAGTAACGTATAAAACACTTGCTGGAATCCTATTAATTTATATAAAGTTGTTTAGGGGGATCTGGTAGATCATTTACTGGAACAAATACCCCTTCATCAACTTCATCGCCTTGATACAGAAAGGTTTTTGAAAATGTGCCATTTGATGACATCATTTGTCCTCATAGCCACTTTTGGTGAAAATTTGTCATGCTCAGAGATAAATTTTTCAAACATTTTTATTTCTTGTTTTAAAAAAATGCGATTAGCTTCAAATCTCATGCACCACTTGTGCCTTCCACTCAGTATTTGCACTCAGAGCATAAAAACTAAAATTATTTTAGAAATAAGTGATAAACCCAGTCTTTCAGAAAATTGAGGAGGGGCATACTGAAGATAAATTATTTTCTGAAGATCAGCAAGATACCGGTATCCATTATATATGTAATCAGTTGAATTGTAAACTTGTCTGTATCATAAAAGTCTTGTCTTCTTAAAAGAATGTCAATCAAATGGCAACATAAATGATAAGGTTATAACATACAACCTCCATAAAAAATACATTCAAGTTGTCTGTAAGGTTAACAAACTTCAGCATTTAAAATAAACATTTTTATACGCCCGTCTGTAGACGGGATGTAGATGTAATCTTGTATTGTTTGTAACAGTTTATGGTCGATATTTATTAAGAAGTTAACACAGAAAAGCTTTCAATATATTTTTTTATCAAAAGCAATTCAAAATGAGTCCCCCTCTATCGGATGTTAGCAAATCAGATAACAAAAGTTTTGATTCATTAGGAATTTAAGGGTTATTGTTCCTTTATCCTGATTTACATTTTTGATTGTCCCTCTGCAGTATATAAAAAAGTATAAATTTGGATTCTGTCGATGGCAATTCCTTATAATAATTTCAACCAGAAATGAATATGAGATACTGTTTTTCTTTGACATTTGTCTAAAAAATCTTGGTGTCGATTAAATCATATTCCTATTTATACTAACAGAGAAAAACCAAAGTATAAGTGTATTAAACAATAATCAGCATTTAATTAAGGCTTTAATCAAATATCATGTATATTTAATAAATAAAAGGGGAACTTTAATGTGGCACAAAGGTGAAAGGTTCTATTTAATTACCTTTTCGTGTAAGTGAAGGTTACATTTCACCTTTAGTTTTTGTAAAATTAATACAAAGATAACATTGCTTTTGGAACACCTTTAATGAAATTTACTTTGCAAGTGAAGTTTTGTAAAGGTGTTTTTTCAAGCAGTGCTAATGTGTAGTCGAAGAATTCAACAGACTCGAAGTGTTAGTATGAGAAAGGTTTGGGGGATTCACCCTCTTAAGAAAAGACCAGAATGGGGCGATTGTCTTTGTTATAAAAAGGAAATATATGATTTTATTTTGCTTTGCTACTTATAGCACAGTTTACACAGGTAAACTGGTCTAAGTATGTCATAAATAGAAATGCTTTGCCAAGGAAAATTTCTTGTGAAGTTGAAAGACATCCATAAATGTCATTTGACCATACAATTAAATAACAAATACATAGTTTTTACTTAGCAATTATGAAGATAAGTCTATCAAAACCACTTAACAAAATAAATTTTAATCCTATATACAATTCAACCCTTCACATTGCTTGGGTAAAATGGGAATATGTTTTATTCTGTTTAACGGATTCCTAAACAGAAGAATTGTAACCAATTTTCGTGTAATTGTTGAATAAAATGCAATTTTCTATGAACCATTTGTTGGCATATAACATCAAACAAAATATATGATGTGTTTCGTTTCCTGATAATTTCCTCCCATTTTAAACATTGCATGCAGTATAAATATTTAATATTTATTTTGCAAAAAAATATATGGAAAAACGCTTTTTTTAAACACGGCCAATATGTAACCACCCAAGATAATTGAAAATGTTCCTCTACTTCCTGTGAGATCTTTCAGATTACCATGTTCAACTCCCATGAGTACTTTCATTTAAATACGGCCAATATGTAACCGCCCACGAAAATTGATCCTCCAGGAAGAGTAATGATTGAGCATTAATTTTGTATTTCCAATGCTTCTACTGCTCGAAATTAAAAGAGCAATTTAATAACTATGGCTAATTTTATGCCCTGAATCGTAAACATATGTAGTCTCACAATGTTCGGATGCAGACTTTGTCTGATTTTGTGCTCCGTGTTGATTTGGACAAATGCTACCCTCTTTCAGTCTTACATCGCGGACACTGTCTTAGATAACACAATATTCAATGATTCTCTTAGGGCAACGCACGATTCTGAGTCTCTAACTCAATGCTCTGCTATGTGTGGGAAGAGCTGTTATTGTTTTGGCTACAACTCCAAGAGAAAGACTTGCCATCTTCATTATAAATCTTGTAATTCTTTGGATAAATCTGTTAGTGATTACGAAACAGGGTGGAGGTATTTCGCGGCAGTGTTGAAAGGTATCAAACTTTAATAAAAGTTATTTGCGAAAACGTATTTAGAACTTTTTTATTTTAAAACAATATTTTAATTCAATACACCATATTGTCAAACTTTGTAAATTGAATTTTTTAATCGTATACATATGTAACAACTGATTGGAATGTGTTATCCGTTATTCTCAAGTTGATGTAATAAGTATGTTTTATTCCTTACAACGAAAAAATTTCTGTTGATGGATTTATATATGTTCATACATGATTAAATGTACAATGTACATAAATATCGTCATACAAGAATGTAGACATTATGATTTTGTTTCAATAGTGCAATCCTGATTCAGCAAAAAAGATCTTCATTTACAATCAACAATGTTTTGTTACCTTAGAATTACATTCTATGATCTTGATATTCAGCTATAAAAATGTTTTATGTTTAAAGGAGAAAGTTGGCTGTCATACGGAATGCATCGTTACTTACATATAAAGACTAGAAACACGTGGTGGGATGCTAAGGTTAGAACTATACATATTTATATATTTTAAATTATTACATGTTTTGTCTTTTCGGACATGAAGACAGGTAGCTGCTTCTTGTATTCATGAAACAAGAGGCAAGATGTACATTCTCCACTTTAATTTTTCATAAAATGCATATACCTTAAAAAAAATTTTCAAGGGGACACATTTTCGTGGATTTGAGGGAAAACTCTTGGTTCGTGGAATTTGATTTCATATTTTGAAAATGTTATACAGGAGCGGCGTTTAACACAAAATTCCGTCAAATAACCAGTGTGTCTCAATTTTTATGGAATATCAAGAAAAACTTCTCTACAATAAATGTTCTCTCCATATATTTTACGAATACTAAATAGGATAAACTAGAGCTACTGTGAGTGAGCACACTAAATGATAACCCCCGCCTCCCAAATGGTTATAACTGATAACGAAGTCCATGTTTTGCTGTGGCCGGGAAACCCAATATATATGTCGGATCAAAAAGTAATATAGGCGGTGCACAGTGGCAATATGTTATAAAGATTCTCTGAAAGTTTCATTAAATTTCACTCAGTGGTATATGAGAAGTTGCGGATAAGAGATGGTCACCCTAAAGCGTAACACATGGACGAACAGACATACCGATTACAGTATACCCTCCCACTTTTCAAAAGGGGGTTATAAATATATGGCTGCATGAACCGTTTGTCAGTTTTACTCAATCATAACAAATAATGAAACGATTTTAAAATGAGGCTAGTGGCCAAGTATGAATAGGTGATCCCACTTGTCTATTTCAGTACGAGTGTGAAAAGCTAGGTGCCTACTTGGTTACCATAGGAACAGAAGAAGAAAATTCATGGTTAAGAGAAACCTTTTTGCCAGTCTGGGATCCCGGTATATTTTGTTTGCTTTTGTTTGCAATTGATTGTTAGATTGCATGTTTTTTTTTATTTAATATGTTATGCAGAAATAAATAATTTATACTCAAGTTTCTTTAGAAGGTATATATGACTTTTCATTTTAATTAAATTTATTTATATGTAATTAAACGGTATCCGCAATTATATAGTAAATAATTTTAACACAAGTGCTTAATTTTATAATCACTGGATTCTATTAACAGCAAAGAAACACTTGGGAAATGCTAAAAACTGACTGATTGGTTATATCAATAATATTAAGTAGTTATTGATTATGTTAATATTTAACATCAATTCACATTTTTTCAGCGACATGTAACCCTTGGTGGGATTGTTGTTCACATTGGACAGGTGCCAACGATATTGAAGAGGAGGGGAGATTTGTCTGGACAGAAAACGACAATAGGGTCACTTCCTATTTCAACTGGCACCCGGATGAACCTGATAACTCTGGCGAACAGGACTGTGTACTTATGTGTCGTGACGGGATTTGGGGAACAACTCAGTGTCACCAGATGTATTCATACATATGTGAAAAAGACTAAAAATGTTAGACACTAAATAGTCTTAAAGTCCACAATCACCAGACAAACCACTGAGTAATGCAGGAACCTGTTAGTAAAACTGCTACTCAGTGCTTGTGTGTTTATATTTTACTGAATAAAAAGAATGGTAAAGGAAAGATATATACTGTTTTTAACGTATTCCAACAAGCCCCATTTTAACATGATTATTAATGATAACTAATTATTCTATCCCTCCCAAGACTTCAACAGACTTGAAGTGTCAGCATGAGAAGGTTCAACCTTCTTGTTGGGGGGATTCACCCTCTTAAAAAGACTAGGATGGTGCGATTTTCTTTGTAATATAAAGGAAAAACAAGATTTTTTTTGCTTTGCCATTTACGGTTTTACACACGTAATCTTGGCTAAGTATGAAATAAAAAGAAATTGTTTGCCACGGAAAATTTAAAGTGGAGATAAAAGACATCCATAATTCTCATATAAACAGTCAATTTAGAAAAGGCATAGGCCATATTTAACAATTGTGAAATTTAAGTTAATCATTACCACTTAACAAAAGTGTGAAATTTTAATGCTATAGATATACACAGCAATCTCTTTACAGTGCTTATAATTGGTTTAAATGGAAACTTTTTTTTTAAAAAATACACATTAACTTTTAATCTGTTTAACGGTTTCCTAAAACACAAAAAATCCTTCTGTAAACATCTTTCGTGTAATTGTTGAATAAATAAAATTTAATTTTCTATGAACCATTTTATGGCATTTAACATCAAACAAAATATATTATTTGTTTCGATTCCTGATAATTTCCTCACATTTTAACCATTACCTGCAGTATAAATATTTAATTTTTGCAAATTGAGTACAATGATGTGTAGGCTACAGCCATTTTACCAATATGGAAACACGTTTTTTTTAAACACGGCCAATATGTAACCGCCCACAAAAATTGATCCTCCAGGAAGAGTAATGATTGAGCATTAATTTTGTATTTCCACTGCTTCTAGTGCTCATTATTAAAAATTCAATAACTATGGCTAATTTAATGCCCTTAATCTGAAACAGTCTGTTTGCCTATAGGGAAAACGCGTCACTTCCTCCCCGATTGAAGATGTTAGAGGGTATATAGAACAAGAGACCCATGGGCCTTATAGGTCACCTGAGCATCATGCAACAACTTTCCTATGATTGAATTTGGTTCATGTTTTAAACTAGCATCATGGCACTTACAATTTTTAGCGCCACTCCCATGCATGAACCCGACCCTTGGTCCACACATTTCAAAATTTTGGAAAAGGCACCCTTGTTTATCAAAATGCTTGATTAATACCAAGTAGCAGATTTCAAACAATTCATTCATTTTCAGTAAAAAAGTTGAGCCCCCCTCCCCCCCCCCCCCGACCCAGGGCCTTGAAATTCACAATTTTGAAAGATTGACCCTGTTTATCATAGCTATAAATGTAGTTCATCTGCTTAATGCCCAGGAGCAGAGAAGAACATTTTCAACGATTTAATGTATTTTCACTATATCATCAATAGAGTCCCAACCTAACACCAGAACCCCTGACCCTAGGGCCATAAAATTCACAATTTTGGAAGAGATATTCTTGCTCTTCATAAATTTGTACTTCATTAGTTCATTTAATACCTAGGAGTACAGAAGAAGATTTTCAAAGAATTCATGTATTTTCACTGTATAATAAATAGAGCCCCGCCCTAACTCCAGAACCCCTGACCCTTGGGCCATAAAATTCACAATTTTGGTAAGGGTACTCTTGCTCATCATACCTATGTACTTAGATTGTTTATTCAATACGTAGGAGCAAAGAAGAAGATTTTCAAAGAATTCATGTATTTTCACTATAAAATAAATAGAGCCCCCCCCCCTTAGCACCAGAACCCATGGCCCTGGGGCCATAAATATCACAATTTTGGTAGAGGCACTCTTGCTAATTAAAACTGTGTACTTAGGTGGTTTATTTAATACAAAGGAGCAGAGAAGAAGATTTTCAAAGAAATAATGCATTTTCACTATACACTTAGGGGACGACCATTTGATTCTGAGGGGGCCTGGAAGATTTTTGAAATAAATAATCTGTCCCTGAAAATGTTGAAAATAAATAATCTGTCCTCCACTACAGAGAAAATAAATAATCTGACATTGACTTCTGATAATTAAAAATTGTAAAAATACCTTATTTATTTACGCTTAATTAAATCTCAAAAGTCTTCAATTCAAAAAATTTTTTTGGCTCGCTTCGCTCGCCATTTTAGAACCAAAAAGTATTTAAAATCAGATTACCAGACTGGATACTTAAGTCAGTTTATCAACATGACAATATGCACTTAGTAGGTGTGATGAATAACTTTAAATACAAACCAATTCTTATACACCACAAAAGATAAATTTTCTTGTCGCAGGCGCGGATCCAGAAATTTTTTCCAGGGGGGTCCACCTCTGTCAAAAAAAAAATTCTATCCCAGAAATTTCTTGACGAGCAAAAAAAAAAAAAGTTAAACTCGCCCAAACGTCAGAAACCTATTTCGGGGGGAGGGGGGAACTTTTCGTACCCATTTTCGTGTTTACCAGGGGGGGTTTTCCAGGGGGGGGGTCCATGGTTACTTTTTCCTTGTTTTAGTATATACATTTTTTTTAATGGTAAATTCCAGGGGGGGGGGGGGGGGTGCTGACCCCCCCGACCCCCCCTCTAGATCCGCGCATGTGTCGAATAATTATACTTTCCAGAAAAATTAAAACAAAATATAACCTGGCAGATTTAAGGGGGACGTACATGTGTACGACCCGAGACCCTCCCTTAAAATAACAAAGTATGATACGAATAATTATAATAATTCCATACTTTGGGACAATACCAATATTTTTGTGCCTAGTTTTACTCTTGAAATACACAAAACCCCAAGATCTTTAGGGGGCTTTGCCCCCTAGGCCCTTTTCATTCAAAGGATCATATGACTTAATAATGTCATACTTTGGTACACATCTCACCAATTCCTACAAAAGTTTTACTCTTATACATATTGAGAAACCCAAGAGTTTCAGGTGGCTTTGCTCCCTGACTTACTTCATTCAAAGTACGATATGACCAGTATTAATTATGTCATACTTTGGGTCATAATAACCAATACTACTATAATAGTGCCTGGTTTTACTCTTAAAATACACGAAACCCGAAGAGCTTCGTGGGGGGTGGGGTGCTTCGCCCAGGACCCACTGGGGCCCTTACGGCGGCCCCAGACCTCTTGCCTAAACAAAGTTATATCTGTCCCCTCCCCAAATCCTGTATCCGAATACGGTATATAAATGATTAGTCTTTTAGAATCAATTGATCAAGGTACGGTAAGACATAGAAGAAAATAAATAATCTGTCCTTCATAATCTTGAAAATAAATAATCTGTCCTCGACAGGCATGAAAATAAATAATCCGTCTCAAAAAAATTTGCCAGCCCCCCCCCCCCCCTCAAGATCAAATGTTCGTCCCCTTAACTAATTGTTGGTTCACACTTTTTTGTGAAAATTAATTTATACATGTATGAATGAATTGAAATTGATAAATTAAACATATTTTAAAAATTCTTAACTGAATTGAATAAGCTGATTCAGTGTATCCAAACAGACTTAGCACAGACAATGTATTTGGTGAATTATATCACAGACTACGTAAAAACAGGAGGCCCAGGGGCCACAGCGCTCACCTGAGCACACACAGGTTAGGGCTAGGAAAAAGCAAATATCAGATCAGAAATAAAAGTTTACCGAGTTTGGAGGGTGGCTTAAATCTTAAACCCCCCCCCCCCCCCCCCCGGGTGTCATGATTTGAATAAACTAGAATCTTCACTACTTTTGGATGATTTCATAGAAATATCACTTGTTATGGCTTTGAAGTACTTGAGAAGTAGATTTTAAAAGATTTCCATATATACTCTTATGAAAAACTTTGATCGACCATTTTGGCCCCTACTTTCCCCCGGGGGTCATGATTTGAACAAACTTGAATCTACACTACCTGAGATGATTCAACATTAGTTTCATCTTTTCTGGCCCAGTGGTTCTTGAGAAGAAGATTTTTAAGCTTTCTACCCCGGGGGTCATGATTTGAACAAACTAGAATCTACACTAATTGAGGATGATTTCATATAAATATCACTAATCATGGCTTTGAAGTACTTGAGAAGGAGATTTTAAAAGATTTCCCTATATATTCTTATGAAAAACTTTGATCGACCATTTTGGCCCCTACCTTCCCCCGGGGGTCTGGGTCATAATTTGAACAAACTTGAATCTACACTACCTGAGATGATTACACATTAGTTTTATCTTTCCTGTCCTAATGGTTCTTGAGAAGATTTTCCCTCTATATTCTTATATAAAACTTTGATCGGGCATTTTGGCCCTCCCAACCCCCGGGGGTCATGATTAGAACAAACTTGAATCTTATCTACCTGAGGATAATTCTACTTGAGTTTCATGTTTCCTGGCACAGTGGTCCTTGAGAAATTTTTTTTTAAATATTTATCCTATATATTTCAAAACTTTGATCGGCCATTTTGGCCCCAACCCCCGGGGGTCATGATTTGAACAAACTTGAATCTACACTACCTGAGGATGATTTCACATAAGTTACATCTTTCCTGACCCAGTGGTTATTGAGATGAAGTTTTTTTTAAAAAAAAAAATGCTATTAATTTTTCTCAGTTCAGACTGATCATTTAACATAATTTCCTGACGAAATATGGCTGAAATATTGTCGACTCGGCGTTAAACACCAATCAATCAATCAATTCATAATTATCTCCCCTGGGAAAAGGACGTGGCCCTCCATTTGAACAAACTTGAATTCCCTTCACCCAAGTATACATTGTGCCAAGTTTCGTTGAAATTGGCCCAGTGGTCCTTGAGGAGAAGATGAAAATGTGAAAAGTTTACAACGACGACGACTACGATAGACAAAGGACAAATTTTGATCAGAAAAGCTCACTTGAGCCTGATTGTTTATATCA